GGACCTATCCTTCTCCACTTTGCAGGCGCGGATCCAGGGTTTTCCCCGACCTTCGCACAGATGGGGTGGTCTTTGTAATGGTGGATCCGGAAATTCGAAAAAGATGGAAATTCACTGATAGAAAATTGGAAATGGCACTCTCTGGATTTGAATATAGTTTTCAGTTTTTTTCTATATATATTTACGGTGGCCTGGACGGACTGGGTTTCCCTTGAATCCGCCACTGAATGGGGAACCCTCTAACGCTCAGGTGACCTAGGGTTTTGAAACAAATATTGCTTGTTGAATTTATATAGGATAAACCAACAGATTCTTGAGAGGACTTGATGGTTGTTATACCCGTAGCTATATGGTCATGTTTTCATTCGGAAATCACTTCAAATGAATACAGCACTTCCAGTGATTACAGGTAATTTTGGCTTCTGTAAAGTATTATTTTGTTGCAGAAAACAGTAAAATCCAAGTCATAATTCGCGACAAATGTTTCTCCCATGGCAAGGCTTATTAGGGCCTCCTATCTAAATAGCCCTATACTTTGTAGCGTTAGCCTAGGGCTACTCTCACCACACTGAGATGCTAAAAATTCGAACTCTCTGAACTACGAATTTTCTCATTTACGAAATCTGTTCGGACGGAGCGACACTTAATTGGGAGATTTTACTTACAGTAGTGCCTACTGTACGCAACCCCCCTCCCCACCCACTGCCAAACTTCTGCGTATGCCCGACTCAAATATTACTAAATTGGTGGTTATCCAAAGCCCTAGTGCGGGACTGAGAAAAACAATTAAAAATGTGTTTAAAATTGGGCTTCAGATGTCAAATTAGGTCATCAAGAATATTTTTTCTATACCCCATCCTATTATATAGAATTTATTTTTTTAATAATAAAATAATTCTCTCCATCATGTTAGTTATGCAGCTTTTTAAAAATGGCAATAAGATGCGCTCGCTACCGAATAGCTTGACTAAACCAATGTTACCACGTTAACACACAGATGTCACATAAAACGAGAGGGACACAAACGTATATCATGCATGCATCTGTCCGTTTGTTTCCTGAATAGCTTGCTGCGCATAAGCACGTGTAAGTGGATGTTGCCGTTGAGACTTGAAGGCAAAACACTCTGTTCAAACATGGGTTTATCGAGCATATATGCCTGTGTATACCTTTAAAAATTAATTCGAAAAAGATTACAGTAAATTCATAAGTGACGGTACTATGGTGTATCGATGATCAATGATGCTGATGCTGAATACGATATAACATTGGAAAAATATGTTTTACGATCGTGATACAGTGAAACTGGTATACACGGGTCAAGTTTGGTTTATTTTCGCTTCTGAGGAAAAGACAATAAATGAGACGAAGATCATCTTTGATAATTATATTGCCTACGATTTAACCATTTGCTATATGAAAAATACGTATATATGAGAATCTAGAGTTATAGGCCTACCGTCACAATTTGTTCCTGAATAACCAACAAGACATGTGCAAACATAAGTACTTGATGTAGATCCCTGGAAACACGTCCCACCATTCTCACACGGACTAGTGGAACAAGGATTGCTGTCGATCACCACTGTAAAAATGTGGTACATAAATTATTTTTTATTTTTTTAAATTTATTCATTTAAATACATGAACCATGTTCCAACAGCTAATCACTGTCCCACTCAGGTGTCTTTTACAAGATAAACATACACACAAGATGCTTAAAGCCGACACACAAGATGCTTTGGGGTTAAGAGGTTTTTGGTCGTGAGCTAAAATTCTGGAGTTTAGACAACATTTTAACCCAGGACTCCAGAATGAAGGATGTTTAGCTCCAATTCCTAACCATAACGCCAAAGCTTGAGCCAGCTTTTATTGCAATTGTTACGCTGAGTATGTGGGCTTTACATAATCGGTAAGGCTATACTGATTCGATCGACCAACCAGCGTCGCCAAATGCTGTCGGCAATAGCTTGTAGCGATTTTATGGAAACTCCGCGTTATCTAAGTTGTATCTTATTAGTAGTCTATAACATACATTTATATTCACATAGACTCTCTTTACCACCACCCCACCCCACCCTCCAGCACGATCCCGAAGTTGAAATAATGTAAACTTTATCTGTACTAACCTGTTTCACAATTTGTTCCAGTATAGGTGGGTAGGCAAATACATGTATAAGAATTACGGTCGGAGCTTTGAAGACATGTTCCACTATTTTGACATGGATTAGTTGAACATAAATTCACTACACATAGGGAGAAACATAAGAAATACATGAGTGTGTTGTGTGTATGGGAGTAAAGGAAGGATCAAGATTGACAAATGCAAAACATATGTCACTGTTGACCATAGATACGTATATTTATAACATCAAGATGCACGTCTGGTGCTCCTCCTTGAAACACGCTTCTATTCTAAATTTTACAAACTATAAGTAGACTATAAACTAGTTACTGTACATTTTTACTAGGTTTCTTTTCCAAAATGTTGATAACATCTTGGGAATTAAATAGGCCCCCTACATTTGACAAAAATGGTAATTGTTGCCATAAATAATGACTAGTATCAACACTACCACAAAAATGGATCTTGAGTAATAAAATAATTATACCGTATAACTACTAATAGAAACCCACTACCCTTTTGTGACCCATGCTTCAACAATGACCCACCTTTAAAGTTCATCTTTATTAATGACCCACTACTCTAATAGTAAACCAGTGGTGTTACTATTGAAATGTCAAATGAAGAATTATTAGCCTACAGATGACAGTGCAATTATCATATTTTGCTTTAATTTGATTTTTATTTTGTCTTTAACATTATCTATTTAAAATAATGGTACTATAAGAGATTTGGTCTGATTATAATAATAATAATAATAATAATAATAATAATAATAATAATAATAATAATAAAACAATTTTGCTTGCATACATATTCAAGTAAGATATGGAGAAAATAAACATGGGTGGGTTAATATACAAATAGTGAATGTTTATTCATGCAATGGGAAGAGTATTTTCATGAGTCAAGATTTAATTAGAATGTTTGAATATATATATGTTTACCTGTGGTTTGACATCTGTCTCCTGCATAACCTGGTGTGCACAAGCAGAAAATGTTGGCGGCGCTAGAGCTTTGCAAACACGTGCCGCCATTCATGCAAGCACCGGTGAAACACAGGGTAAATGCTGTAGAAATAGAAAATGTATTTTTTTTTTATATATTTAACTTTTTAATAATTGTTTTAATACAGAAAAATACATTAATACTCTAGATCAATGGATGCTATTAGTCATAGGGATATGCAAATTCTGTGAATATGGAGCCAAAGGTCAGTTGTAGCATTTATGGTAATGTTTGGGCAAAATATTTCATAAGAGCAAATAGAAACATGTAGTTTCTGAATATTTTAAAAAAAGTAATCCTCTGCGACCAGGATAGTTGCCAAATTATCAAGCCCCTATATTTTTTTACAGCTAATTTGCATAATTAAACTAGTGTGCATACGAACAGGTACTTTAAAGGGGTATTTGTAAATTGAAGTATATGCCTAAATAAATCTTCCACGACTATTGTTATAAGGATATGCTAATTCTGTGAATATGGGTCAAAGGTCAGTTGTAGCATTTATGGTCACAGTAAAGAGAAACATGAATATTCTGAGTACAGTACTTGGAAAAAAAGAAAGCATGCGTTTTGTGTTTATTAGTTTTCAAGTTTATGCAGACCCTATATTTTGTAGCCGTAATTTGCATATTTAAGCTAATCAGCAAATGAATTAAGCATGTGACCAACATGTAATTTTGGTAATTTGAACTCCTCATTACATGTGTTCATTCATAATTTGTCAAATTGGTAGCAAAAAACGATCATAAAAAGTCGTCACCTTCACAATTTCTTCCTGAGTAACCAGTTAAGCAAGTGCAAATATAAGTACCGGACGTTGTCCCTTGAAAGCAGGTACCTCCATTCACACAGGGGCTATTTAAACACGGGTTAATAATTACTGCGAAATGACACAAATTGAATGACATGAGTTTAGGTCTATGCACAAATATGAAATTGTATCCTTAATGACTTCAATAGGCCATACTGATAATTACAATGTACAATGAGACATATATTTACATAGAAAGGCCTATAACAGGCAAACTTTATTTTTTTTTAAAAAATACTATTAATATAAATTACGGACATCAGTAATCATAATTTGTCAAATTGGTAGCAAAAAACGATCATAAAAAGTCGTCACCTTCACAATTTCTTCCTGAGTAACCAGTTAAGCAATTGCAAATATAAGTACCGGACGTTGTCCCTCGTAAGCAGGTACCTCCATTCACACAGGGGCTATTTAAACACGGGTTAATAATTACTGCGAAATGACACAAATTGAATGACATGAGTTTAGGTCTATGCACAAATATGAAATTGTATCCTTAATGACTTCAATAGGCCATACTGATAATTACAATGTGCAATGAGACATATATTTACATAGAAAGGCCTATAACAGGCAAACTTTATATTTTCAAAAAGTTTTCTTCTCAGTGTCATCATCATGGTTATCAGTATCACCATCACCAGAACCATTACCATCACAGCCATCATCATCAATATCATCAGCATCAACACTATCATCAACAACACCACCATAATCAACATAATTAAGTGTCCGTTACCTTCACAATGTGTTCCTTCATAATTGTCGGCGCATACGCAAATATAACCAGCAGTCGTACTGGAGCTTTGATAGTAGGTCCCTCCATTCCCACACGGTTTAAATACTATTAATATAAATTACGGACATCAGTAATTATTTAAATAGTTATACACTATTTATAAAATGAATATGAATTGATCAACTTACAGTCACTATGCAGGGTTGAGGACCGTTGCCATCCGGCATTTTGGCAAATGGCCGGGTTCAAAAGGGAATTGAAAAGGGCTGTATGGCAAAGACCGGGCGGATGACAAAGAACCAGGTGGCTATTGGGTCGAAACCCGTTGTCCCTTGTAAGCATGTATCTTAATTCATACAGGGGCTATTCAAACAATCACTGCGAAATAACACATATATATGTGAAGTAAGGATGGCATACCTATTGACTATTACACTAGGTCCTACTGACAATTACAAAGTTCATTTGACATATATTCACACAGACGTAGGCCTATAACAAGCATGTCAGTTGAACTTTTTGGAGTGGAGTTGAATAGCTCAGTGTTTAAGATTTTTGCCTTATGATCCCATGGTCCTGGGTTCAATTGCTGTCACAGCAGGACTTTTTCTCACGACCAAAATCAACTCCACTCCCTAAGCCTCATAAACAGACTTAGTTTATATAACATTCTCATCCTGTAAGTGGCAAGTGTACTTGCTGTTGGATGTGAGGGGGAAGATATATATATATATATATATCTGTCTCTTATACACCAAGTCGTTGACATCTCATCGTCTTTTTCATTGAGTTATGTATATATGGTAAAAATTTTCTTATGCAATAAATTGAAATAAGGTTGGATATTCATTATCATTCATTACCAGTCTGCACCACACTTATCACCCTCATAAACAGCACTATAAACCCTACCACTAGCAACAACAACAATATAAGATAATTTAATTGTCCGTTGCCTTCACAATTTGGTCCTTCATAATTATTTGCGCATGCAATTCGAAATATAGGCTTAACTAGTAGTCGCAGCGCTTTGCAAGCAGGCCCCCTCAATTCTGACACGAACTAGACAAAAACGGGCTTACTACAATAAATTATGAAAATCAGTAATTAGTTAAATAGTTAATACACTGATAGTAAAATATGTTGGATTGAGGACCGTTGCCACCCGGCATTTTGGCAAAAGGATAGGTGGCAACGGGCCTGGGTGGCAAATGACAGGATTGAAAAAGGACCAGGCGGCAATGGGGACGGAACCCCATCTGTCATTACACTACAGCTTAGGTCAGTCGGCTAAATGGTGGTAGCTACTGCATATGTGCTGAACCAGTGGCGGGTCCAGATGGGTACAGATCATGCGAAGCCCCAGGCAGGGTGGTTGCGGGGTTGCGTGGCTTAGTCGATTGTAAAATAAAATAATTACGCGTTAAGAAATTATTTTCGAATCGAATCAAGGAATACAACTTCCTGGATCCGCCACTGCTTTCAATATGATTTTCTCTCTCTCCACATTTCCACTTATTTTATTTTTTTCCTCTTTTTTTTGAGGGCCGGCCCTAGCCTGGATCTGCTCCTGTCTGAACAGTGGAGAACCATACATTATTGGTACATTAATATAGGCCTATGGGTATTATGATTTACTATTGATGAGACGTCTTACCGGTTTGTGACTTGGCACCGACGTAATATACTTCACGGGACACAGCAAAAGTTGCCCTACAAGTTAAAAAAGCATAAACATAATAAATATAAAATAAACATAATAATAAGGACTTTATAATTACGGAAATAAATGTCAGTCGGTATTTTCAAAACGCCGTCCCAAAAGTTATTAATTGTGTATTTCTTAACTATTCGCTCGTGCTAGTGACTCACGATGACAGAATTGTTCAAGATAAAAACCCACTGTATACCTATGGCTGACTGCAACGTTACAATGCAGATTACAATTGGACTAGAAATCATAACAATCACTACAATGTTATGTAAGTTTTTAAACCTATTATTTGGAATTCTAAAGAGCCCAGCCTGCGTCATTGTTGCTTTCGACTTGATACCAACTCATCTTATATTTCGTCATTACATGGCCTATCTCTTCCTACAAATTTATTTCATTTTCGGTTTATATTTTTATATAATAAGTCTACTCTATCACTTCGCTCTATAGCTGTCAAAATGGTAATTATCTTCTTTAAAATCTCCAGTTGCGCGTTTAAGCTAATGAACTTAAAACGAGTAAATTAAGTAAAATGTAAAAGGTTCTTAATAAAATAACAAACGACACGGTGCAATATTTATGCATTTTTGTACATTTATATATGTAAACATAAACATTTTGGGGCTGTCTTATGATTAACATAGTAAATGTCATTTTATGTATCTTGTTTTTTTGTGATGTAAAATTGATGTATCCTTATAAAAAAAATCCTTAAATATCTTTTATTAAAAAATGACTTTTGGTAATATCAACATTTCTATTGGCTTGGATCAGATCTATAATAATAATAATAATAATAATAATAATAATAATAATAATAATAATAATAATAATAATAATAATAATAATAATATAGTAATAACTTTATGCAATAAATATATTTATATTACACATTTGGAATTTTTCTGTGTTTATGATTACTTTTATAAACCATAGTAAAAATAAGCTTACACAAATTCGATGTTTCCAACTGGCATTGAGGGAGGGATCCATGTATATACCGTAGTGGCTGGCTTCGTAACAGAGTTCGAGTGAGTAACTGAATCTGCAGGATTACTACACATTATCGTCTTTGTACCACCTGGTAGATTCAAGGAACTCCATGACCCAACTGGTGTTGTACTTCCTACCGCTCTGGCCTGCATCAGAATTCCCGCGTAATGTTGATTGCCAACATTCACTACATTTACTGTCAAAAAAGTTAAAAACATTTATTATACAATGGTGTCAAGGCGAGTCGAGTGGCCGAGTGGTAAGGCAGTGGCGCCGCTAGCTACAGCCTTAAACCGATTTTCCACTAGGCGAATTTATTCGCGCGAATTGAAAGCGTCGGTTTATGCGCATGCACATTCACATTCTTATCGGAGTTCTTGCGAAGTGAAAAATTGCGCAACCAATCAGAGCTCAGGAAGCGAACAGACGCTTTGATTCTCGCGAATAAATTCGCCTAGTGGAAAACCGGCTTTAAGCTGGTTTTCCACTAGGCTAATTTATTCGTGAATTTATTCGCGAGAATCAAAGCGTCGGTTCGCTTCCTGAGCTATGATTGGTTGCGCATTTTTTCGCTTCGCTAAAACCCGATAGAAATGTGAATGCGCATGCGTATGAACCGACGTTCTCGATTCGTGTGAACAATTTCGCCTAGTTAAAAACCTGCTTTAACATCGGCGCTGGTTCCAGCCCTCCTTGCCCATGGTTCGGTTGGTAGAATCTTGGTAGAACTATGTCTTCTTAAAATGGAGGTCAAGTGTATACATCTGGCTCGTGTGCACTTTAAAGCACCCATTGCATCTTTCGGAAGATTAGGGGGTTTACCTCGATGTTGGTTCATTTCACCCATGTCGTTTTGGAATGAAGTGAACACGTACTTACCATGAAGCACCTCTTTACGGCTGCTAGGTAGTCACGGACCACGCCCATACGCAATTCAGCACAATACGCTGCAAGAGTGTTATCCTCCTACCTTTACATTTAATAAAATTAAAATTATCTGGTTCCTTTATTCTATATTCTATCGTAACTAAAGCTTGTTTTCTTTAAAATCGCTACACTGTCGCTACAGTTTTTTCAGTGAAATAGTTGTAGGCCTATTGCGTGACAGTCCAATACGCAGGCTCCCCGATTCGACCGACCAATCAACATCATCGAATACTGTCGGCGATAGCGTGTAGCAATTGTATGGAAACCCAGCTTAAAGTCTGGTTTAATTAAAATCGCTACACTATCGCTACAGCTTTTAACTGCAACCATTGCACAAGCGTAGCAGTCCCCGACGCAATCGCCGATTGTCGGGAAGGCTCCACGATTCGACCGACCAACCAACCAGCATCACCGAAAGCTGTCGGCTATACGTAGCGATTGTATGGAAACTAGGTAGTCAGTTGTAAAAGGTCTCCGATTGAGATCTAAATGTGTAAACTTAATGCTTTATTTTGGTTTTATCTTTTAAAATTAAATCACGGCTTATGGAGACAATCATACTGAAAGTAAGGAAGGATTGTTTGACAAAATAATCATGAATGATGTTATCCCCTTCAAAGCCTATCAAAAATCCTCCCCTTCTAACTCAACTGCCATTTAATTTATCAATGTGCATTCTCATTATTTTACATTCCCTCGTCAGGCATTTATGGCCTTTGTTTTCAGTATAAATATTCCTTTATTCAGTATAAATATTCCAAACTTTGCCACTGCTTCTTTTGATTTGTTTACTTATTATGTGCTTTGGTTAGGCAATTAATGATCACGGCTGCCTGTGTGTTGTGAGGTGGCAAGTATGTAGGGTACAGCGCTTCGTATCTGCAAAGAAAGGCGTTTTACAAATGTATCGATTGGATTGGATTGGATTCCTATAATCATGTTTCTTAAACTAAGCTGCAATTCATTCACATAGGACTAGGTCTCAGTGACCTAACATAATGGTACATCATGCACACCGATTCCCAGTAGGCCTAATAGTACTAACTCCCACCTCAATTTTCACCTCCCACTTGCTTACATAATTAATCCATTTACATTGCCTTGTAGGACTATTCCAT